AATCCCTATGCTTGGATAAAAATGCAGGTAGGTTGGTTGATAAACCAGTCAAGGAGGGGAAGCTGTATTTTTACAGGATCATCAAGTTCAGTGCTGGAGAAGCACAGATCATAAGGGTCAATTCCTATTCAGAAGTACAGCCCATCAGAGCTAAGAGTTTAAACATCTTTCCCTACAGGTAGCTTCCCATCGATGGGGCAGTTTCACAGACCTAGAGTTGTTTTTGAACATTGCTCTTCCCAAGCTGGCTGTTAGCATTAACATCCCCTGACTCTGATAAAGGTTCAGAAAGTAGGCAGTCATTCTCCAGTTTTCAGGAGTTTAGTCAGCTCAAATAGATTTCAGTTAGTGCCCACTCACAGAGACTCTTTCACAAGAAACAGATCCTTTCCAAAGCTTCAAGAGAGCTGTGACACTCCATCTGCACATCCTTTGTATTACAGCTTAATTGGTTTGAATACATACTGGCAGAGTGTGTGACCAGGATAGATTCCTTTCTCAGCCTGAACAAACTTAACTTTTGTTACTCACCTACCAGAGTAAAGGAAGTGCTGAATGGAAGCCCTTTTCCTGGCCCAAATCAGGCTGCTTTCCCATTAAAAGGGTTAGTATAGAAGTGAACATCTAAGAGTCTTTGATCAAAAGAGAGCGAGCACAAGGGGGGCATTACTGTAGTGATTAGGACATTCTCTGTGCTTTGGATTATGCTGTTGTTTGCTCCAATGACTTTACAGAAGGAGGAAGCAGAACTCATGATCACCAGCAAGACTTAATGGGTCGATTATTGCATTCTCCTCTGCACTGTGGCCTAGAACACCCGGAAAGTTTCCCCCATTTAGCCATACTCAGCAAGTGTGTAAGGTGGGTCTTGAGGAGTCAGAAAATATAAATTTGAATCCCTTGGGCTCAGTTAAGCATTGACCTCAGGTCTTCTATTTGCTGGCTTGCTGCTTTAAGAGGGAAATGATTAAAGGTAGCCCACTGTGATATCTTTGCCTCATTTCTCCAAAGATAGTGATCCTTGCTCAGTGTTCTTTTCTTTTTTCTCAACATGTAGCTATATTTCAAAATTTGCCAGAGAAGATTTAGGACTTTAGATTCAGGAGATAAATGCTCGCTCACAACTCTTAATTCTTTGCCTCATTTTATTCTGATTAATACATTAAATTTTATACAGAAATTATTTAAATTAATTGCATTTTATTTTATTTAATTTTTTATTTCTCAAGGGAGTAATTGCTTTATTCATCGTTTTGTGTAAACTTTTAGCTCTTTGCACAAACTGTAGTATTTGGGGAAGAGGGCTGGTAAATTTAGAAAGCGTTTGGAGATGAGGAGGCAATTGAATTTTAGTGTTGTAGTGAGCTAGCATTGGCTGGCAGCCAATGCCCATGGATCTGCTCTCTCATCCTCAGCAGGCTGGAGGAAAAAATAGGATGAGAAAGCTAATGGGTTGAGATAAAGACAGGGAGACTCCTTACCAGTTACAGTCAGAGGTGAAACAGACTCAACCTGGGGAAAATTTGTCCAAATAATTCCAATTGAAAGAGATTTGACCAGTGGAAAACAAAACCCAAACATTAAAACAACACCTCCCTTTTTTTCACAGGCTCAACTTCAATCATTCATTTCTGACTCCCCTCCCCTCCACCCTGAGCAGTGCAGGGGGAAGAGGGATAGGGGGTTGTGTTCAATGCAGAACACTTTGTCTCCGATGCTCCCTCCTCACACTGTTGCCTGGCTCCAGCACTGGTGTTTCCAAGGGCTGCATTCCTTCAGGAAAATTGGATAGTGCTTGTGTGTGTGGTGCTGCCAGAGAGACCTCGATGCTGATCTCCAGCTTTCAAACCCCCATGTTCAAGATTAGTGTAATCTGTCTGCTTAAAAGCCCATCTTGATTTATTTATTTTATAGAATAGAATTGTATTTGGAGCACATCAGGTAAATAATGCCATGTAGTTCATCAAGCAAGTTTTTTAACATTTAACAGAGGAAAAAAAGTGAATCTATGTTCATTTTGCTGACATACATGTTTAAGGAGGGCCCTCCTTAGAGTTTCTGACCTTACTACAAAAATAAATATACTGGAAGTTACATGGGTGGATTTGAATTTGATTTGTGAGATCTCCAACTCTTCTTTTGACTATATTTGTGCAAAAAATGTCTCCTTATGAGATTCAGAGAAAGAGTGATCCCGTGGGTATTGTTCATAAAGTGTTAATTAGCAGCGGAAGCAAAGAACCTCACCACTGCTAGTACACAGAAGGTCTGCAGAACAGCAACAGTATGAGAATAGAATCAATAGAGAAAAGCACCAAAATGCTTGAGAGGGAGGGAGGGAAGGAGGGAATGAGAAAAAGAGGCCTGGTAGAAAGAAAAACTTAACACAAAAATTGTACTGCTGCAAAGTTTTAATATAAAATATAAAATATATAATGTAAAATATAACACACCTTTCCAGACTGTGACAGCTCCCTCAATCCACAAACCAGCAAGTGATTTTTAAATGAATCTCTCTTCACTAAAGCCCACTAAGAAAACTTTTTTCCTTTTTCACTCTGTAAGTAGATTTTCCGTAGGAGTTACATTATGTGGTTTTGACAGATGTTGTTTTATTGATCATGATTAGTATGTTTCTCTGTGGGAATGTGTGCATACAGACCATGCTTAACTTTTTGTCTCCAGTTTTCTTTTGGGGCTTCTATCTTTCTTTCCAAGAACTGGTTGAATATATAGTAGACATAAAGACACGAGTAGATCCTTTAATAAATATAAGAGTTTTTTAAAACAACAACAACTTAAACAAAGGCAAAAAAAGACAAGGAGAAAAATAGAAATATATAAATATTTATAGATATTTGAAAACCAATCCAGCCAAGCTTGAGTTATTTCTGCAAAAGAAGTAATTTATATGACCTGCACACCTTGAAATAGAAAAATTAAAGGGTGGAAATGTTATTGCAGATCATAGAACCATAGAACAGTTTGGGTTGGAAGGGACCTTAAAGATCATTCAGTTCCAACTGCCACACAGTGGACAGGGACACCTTCCACTTTACCAGTTGGCTCAGAGCTCCATCCAACCTGGCCTGAAATGCTTCCAGGGACGGGACATCCTCAGCTTCTCTGGGCAACTTGTTCCAGTGCCTTACCACCCTCACAGTAAAGAATTTTTTCCTAACATCTAACCTAAATCTAGTCTGTTTGAGCTTGAAGCATTTCCCCTTGTCCTGTACATGTTCTTGTAAATAGTCTCTCCATCTTTCTTATAGGCTCCCTTCAGGTACTGGAAGGCTGCAACTGGATCATCCTGAAACCTTCTCCTTCCCAGGTTGGACAAACCCAGTTCTCTCAGCCTTTCTTCATAGCAGAGATACTCCATCCCTCTAATCATCTTGGTGGCCCTCCTCTGGACTCACTCCGACAGGTTCATGTTCTTCTTCTCCTGAGGACCCCAGAGCTGGATGCAGCACTCCAAGTGGGGTCTCTCCAGTGCAAAGTAGAGGGACAGAATCCCCTCCTTGCCCTGCTGGCCACAATTAGCTTTAATCCAGGACACAATTAGCTTTCTGGGCTGTGACTGCACATTGTCAGCTCATGTCCAGCCTCTCATCCATCAGCACCCCCAAATCTTTCTCATCAGGGCTTCTCTTGATCTGTTCATCTCCCAGCCTGTATTGAGATTGGGGCTTACCCTGACCCAGGTGCAGCACCTTGTACTTGGTCTTGTTAAACCTCATGAAATTCCCAAGGCGCCACTTGTTAAACCTCATGAAATTCCCAAGGCGCCACTTCTCGAACTTGTCCAGGTCCCTCTGTATGGCATCACATCCTTCAGGTGTGTAAACTGCACTGCTCAGATTGGTGTCATCCGCAAATTTGCTGAGGATGCATTTGATCCCTTCCACTCGTCTTTTTCCTACAATAACGGTTTTTTAATATATATATATATATATATATATATATAAAATAATAAATCAGCTTTCCCCATTTTGATTTTCTCAAAGTTTTGAATAAGCGAATGGACTGGGAGGAGACTTGAACTCTTATAATTCTCATTGGAGAGATGTCTGAGGGGATATCTGTCATACTAAAATCTGTTGATTTTGTTATAATATTTATAGGAAGAAGTCTAAAATTATTTTATCAGGCCACTTAGATATAGTCCATTGTATTTATTTAATTGTATTTTAAATGTATTACTTCATACATCCTTCATTTCAGTGTTCACAAAACAAAAGATTTGACTGTGAGGAAATGAAATGAAATATTCTAATGTCTTTGAAACAAATATTTCTTTGAGGTTTTATTAACTAGAAGATCTGTCTACTTTGGCTTTCATCCTGATATGGTATTTAGAAAATATCACTATCCTGGTTTCTTGATATGCAGAATGCCATTTTTCAACTACCATTAATTAGAAGTGAGAATTCTGTATTACCAAACTAGATACATTTCTTTGTGAAACTAATTAATAATCTATTTATCATATTTTATTTATTAGCTTTAAAAAAAATGGACATAACCTTAGATTGTTTCAAGTTCTGAATACCTGACTCGGCTCTAAGGGGAAAAATGAGTACATTATTTAAAATACAATCCAGAGTAACTGCCAAAGAACATTTCTGATTTTCTTTAATAATCTGGTATTAAGATGAACTTCATTTCAAAGCTTAGGAAAGTTAAAGACTGAAGGTTGGAGTCAAGGAAGACAGTTTTTATACTTAGAAGTAGCTGTCACCTGCATAGAGATAATGAAAAGATTGTCTGAAATTTAAAACTATACTTTATCTCAGTTTAGATACCCGCAAGGTTTATGCATTTGAATCCATTCTTTGTATTCACAAAACTCAGTTAATTGGGCTAAATGACTATTTTATTGAAGAAAAAGTATCAAATATTGACAAAATATTTGTGGTAAAATTATGAACGAGATCTAATCTTTTTGCGAGTTTTCTTAGAGTGTGGATGGCATACAACAATGTTTGAATAAAATCTTTCTAAACAGAAGAGCAAAGTTCAGGATTAACAACGTTGTCTGAAGGGAAATCATAGGCTGGTCTCAATAAGCCATGGTCAAGAGTAGTCTGGCAGCGGGATGCCTTTGGGACAGCTGGGTGCCTGAGACACTGTCCCTGCATCCATGTCTTCCATGTTTCCCTGTGCTGCTCTCTCAGAGGAACACTGCTCAAGCTCAGGGCGGTCATCTCCAGGCTCCTCACTGGCACTGGCAGCTGGGCACTGCTGCTCCTGCTCCCATGGGCCGCAGGTGCCAAGGAATGCCCTGCATAAAGCCCCAAGTGCCCGCCTGGACAGGGAGCATCCTTGTGTCTGGATGGGGCATGAATGCCTGTGGGAGAAGGAAATCAGTCTCCAAGGAGCTTGGTGGGCACCAGACAAGCTCCTGCCTGCACTGCAGGTGCTGAGGGCTCTTCCCAGGGAAGAGTGGAAGGTGAGTGGCCACCGCTGGTGTTTGTGCTGCTACTGGCCTGGCCTGGGTGTTGCTTTCCAGGCTGAGCCAGACCTGCCCTGGTTGGGGCAGTGCTCGACTCTGGGGTGTGGCTGGGTCATCCCTGGTGTTGGTAGCACCACCCAGGGCAGGAGACGCACTCTGCAGGTTGCTGACGGCCTCTCCTGCTGTGACTGTGCCCTCTGCATCTTCCTGTTGAAGCAGCTCTTTTCCACCATGGTCTTCTGACACATCTTGGGACACTTGGCTTTTGCTATAATCTTCCCAAATCTCCAAGGGTACTGGACTTTTGAGGTCCTCTTCCCACATCCCAGAGGACAGCTCTTTGTGAATATTGTATTCCGCGTCCTCTTCCTTGGCCAAGGTCCCTGGCTCTCTGGGGCCATGGGTTACAAGGCACACTGGTACTTTCTGCATACTCAGGCTTGGGATGGCTTCAAGCACCTCCAGGTTTGTCTGCTTTGTCTGCTCAAGGTGGAGAAATGTGTTCCCCTGGCATATGAGAAAGGAGAGAGGAGAGGTTTCTTGAGGACTTCTTCCTCAACATGAGGAACCCGTGTTCCTGTGTAACCTGTCCTGTCCCACACAATTCCATCCTGTCCTTGGCAGTCACCTCCCTGTGTCTGTCTTTGAGCTGCCAAGACCACATCAGCCCTCCTGCTGCTGGAGATCCTTGTCCTCCAGTCTATCCTGATGCCGCAGAAGGGTGGCTTTTCTCCATGGAGCCCTGTGCTTGGGGTGGGCCTGGTAACTCCTCTCCAGCCCCTGTAGAGCCTTTGTCTTGCTGGACACAATAGTCCGGTGGCTCCTGCTGTCCTGTGGGGCTCTGTGGGCATGGGATTGGTGGCAGCCTGTACCCTTGGAGGGATGAGGCCTTGGCTGTCCCAAGGTTCTGCATGTTGCTGTCATGGCCCACATGTGGGAAGGAAGAGGAGGAGGAAGAGACATGGGATGAAGGTGGCAGCCCCTCAGGGGCCTGGGAGCTGGCATTCTCCAAAAGGATCTCTGTGTTGGTCTTTAGCCTCCTCTGCTGCAGACCTGCCAGGGTCACCCCAGGGAGAGATCCTGCCTCCTGAAAGAGGTGCTCTCCTGGGAGTTGGGCACTCCATGGCTCTGCTATCCTTCAATCCCTCCATGCTCAGAACAGGGCCCAGCTAGACAACCCCTTTCTATTGATGCATGGTTTAATGGACCGCTGTGTGTTCATGGGCAGTGCCTGTCTCACAGTAGGCTTGCAGAGCACCCAGGCTAAGTCTGGCAAACTGCCATATTTTGTGAGGCTGTTCCATCATTCCTTCCTTTCATGTCTCAAAGTTTTGGTCTCTTGAATCCCCAAGTGTTTGACAAGGTACTTTTGATTCCTCAGCTGGTGTAAAAGAGGATATTCTGAAACTCCGTTTAAGCTCAGGCCTGGGCTTCTGCTCTTGCCTTGATCTCAGTTGTAGGGCTGCAGACCTGTCTCTGCTTCATCTTTTGCCTTTGACTGTACCCCTGGAGAGACCATGCACCTGGTTTGTTCCCTTGCCATGTCTGGGGCTGGCAACGGAGCCTGTTCCACACCTGGCTCTGCCTGCTGTGCTCAGGTTCTCTGGGATCGTGGCCCTGATTGGTGATGATGCTCCCTGTGTTGGGATCACCACTTAGACAGCAGTCAACTTTTGTTCTCCTTGACTTTCTGTCCTGGTAGGTTTATGCTTCCTCCCTTCTGTCAGCGTGATTAATGATAATGATGTGTGGGGAGTAGCATTTTGTATCTGTTTTGTTTGGAGATCAAACAAGAGATAATGGTAGGAAAGTATTTTTATGTGACCGTGGTCACGGGTTTAGTAATCCTTTTGTGAGATAGGGTAGGATGTATAGAAGAGAAGCTACAAACTGTGTAAAAGAGAAGCTCTGGAAGGGCGGTAGAGGGGCAGCTCATTTTGCAACATTGTGATTTTAGATTGCTGTAAGTCCCTCATCAGTCTGCATCTTGCTCCCATTCGCCTTTGGGAGCTAGGGCCTAGAAGCTGGAGATTGAAACCTCTAGTCTATGCACACGCAAGCCCATTATCAGATCCAGCCCTCAGTGTGTATACTGGTGTGTATACCTATTCTGTCTAAGGTTCCAAAATGTTTTTCTCCTTGTCAGCATCTCCTGTCCTCAGCCAGCACTCTGATTGAGAATCTAATTATGGTCAGTAGAGAGTAAATTTGATCAGAGATGTTACTGTGTCTCTGAGCCTCCAAAGGCATACCTTGCTGCTTCAGCACTAGCAATGCTGCAGTGTTCTTCTGGCCCTCAGGAGTCCCTTTGTCCTACGGCATATTTGTGTCTTTCCTAAACAATGCAACACTCCAGATTCACAATTACTATATTACTATATTGACAATTTGGTTTTGTAGAGATTTTCCAGCTTTTGGGAGGAGATTCTCTGATTTATTTCCCTGCCTTGTGCAGCCTCACTTTTACTCCGTTTCAGTTCTCTGGGGTTTTCCTTTGGCATGTGAGAAGAACCCATTAAAATAGTCCCTGCAGTTTGTTTTGAAAGACTTGGAGAGGATACATTGATTGAAAACTCTCTAGTACTAGGTTAATTCAGGTACTGCAGCTATTTCTGAAGCACGTCATAAAAACCTGCCTACTCTAAAGAAACAGAAGGCTGGTTTGTGTGTTGACTTTATTTTAGTCGATGTGGCAAAATCTTTGGCTTATGCTTCTCGTCTCTCTGGCTAAAGTTGCTGCATTATATTCAGGTTATGAAAGCATGCAAATGACTGAAGAACATGTGTCTCATCCAAAAGTGCTTTTGAAAATTTCACTGATAATTTCCAGTTGTTTTAACTGCCTGACCACTGTTCAAACTCTGTAAATCCACCATTCCACTCAATCCAGCTTGTTTTTACCTGAACTTGCTCACTCATAATCTGGTTTTCAAGTCAAATTCAGTTTTATTTTACTTTCTATAGCTAGAGGGAGTATTTCTGCTACAAATATTTACTATTCTAGCATTAATGTATCCTTCAATCTGTTAAACATTTTATCTTTGACAACCATCCCTTAGGAAAAACCCTACCAAATGTCTACACCACAATTTGTGTCTGTAGTCTTTCCTTCCCAGCCTGTCTAGATAGGACTTTTGATTCCTATATTTCAGAACCAAGTAGTAACTGGCACTTTGATCTTTCATTGTTTCTTGGACATTTTTGCATTACGACAAGTTTTGTTTTAAGAAACATGTTGTTGCTTGAATACATTTTGAGTTTTTTTCCTCTTAGAGAAGACTTTCCATTTGCTATAAAAGGAGTTTGAGGGTGAACAGCTTAAATGTGCATATCTGACTTTTGTTGGTCAGATGTTTAACTTCTGCTCAGTGTGGGCACCTAAAAAAGATGGGGACAGAGAGATCCAACCTGCAAGTATTTGAAATGTAACTGGGAAGCAGAACAAAGTAGAATGCTGTGAGAAAAGAGACATACCACCCCATTGTCTGTTCATTTGCCAAACTTGGGAAAGCAGGTTTTCAAAGTTAAACATGTATGTTTGAGCTGCTTGCTCTCATCTCCTTTCATGGCAAATGGAAATAAAAGGTAATTTCCGTAATAAAATTCATCTCAGCTAAAGGTATGTGCGTATTCCCACCCTCCTCCTTAGCAGTCAGGAAGTTATAACAGGTATGGGCAACAAATTCCTTATGTCGTTCCTCTGGAACCCAGTGAAGTTTTCTGTCTGACTGTCAGTGAAACTTAGCTGGCAGCAATAGTGCCTGCTAAAGAGAGTTTTTTCTCTTGTATTTGCTGCTGAAAAATTAGCTCTACTGAAATAAAACCCAAACAAGCAAAAAAATTAAAATTCTTATTTTCAGTCACATTAGCTTCTGAATACAGGTCCTGAAAACTGAAGTCCTGACATCAGTCTGTCAGGGGCATGTGTGTGTATCTGGGGTAGGACAGGACTACCTTTACTGAGGCTGCTGTGGTCTCGGATCAGTTTGGCTGTTTAGAGTTTATGTAGGTTCAGTCGGGGTAATTAATCCACTTTATGTGGATTGATTTAAAAGTCAAAATATTCTTGATGTTTTAGGAGAAGTCATATTTTGAGTGACTTTTTTTGTCAGCTCAATACCTCTGACATCTACAGTCAAATAGGCTGCAAAGTTTCTGGAAATTCTTTCTAGTTCTCTTTAGTAGCTTGGAGGGTCTCTACCCTCAATAACCTTATTGGACACCAGTACTTCTGTTGGAAGAAGTTTTATATGCTGAGAGCACTATCTCCATTTCTGTCAGTTGCTTTTTCAGAAACAGTGTGTTGGTTAACAGTGTTTGTTTACCTGATTCCATCGATCACTTCAGAGGCCATTTAATACACTGACGGTAGGAGATTTAATTTTGTTTCCTAATCTTTAAGCCCGTGGTTTTTCTGAGTTTATTAAAGGATAATATTGATGTGTATTGGGGATTACGTGGGCTGGTTTCAGTAGTTGTTTTGACTGTGCAATTATTGTCAAAATTGTTACAAAAAATAACCATTTTAAACTTCAAAACATGCATGTAGCATGTTTAAGCTCTCGGGCTTCTGGAGTAGTTAAATATTTCAGGAAGTTAGCTGCATCACAGAGAGATCTGCAGAATTTGACAAATCAGTTTTTAAAAAAACACAATCTCTAAATATGTTCTACAGGACTTGAATATTTGAAAGGGTCTACCTTAAGTTTTTAATTATGTAATTGCCTTGGAAGGCCAGGACTTAAGGAAGCTCTCTTTTCTACTGTCAGTATCAACAAGTAGCAAGGGTTGATTTCTGCTGTCTTGTACATAAACAGCTCTTTTGTGATGGCAGAAAAGACTTTGTGATTTTTATGTAGTCTAGATAAAATTGCAGCATTAATGGTTGGCATTGCTACACTTTCAGCCCTACTTAATAGCATGTAGGCTGCTCATGGGTGTATAGTATGGCCTGTCCTTTCACTTTACTAAAAAAATACAATTTCTGAGGTCAAATAGATATGAGGAAACATAATCTTCTTTGTCGCCAGAGCAGAGCATCATGGGTGATTTTTTTGTGGTGCATAGTTTAATATTCAGTTGTTGAATATCATCTGTCTATTGGTTGGATTTTTTTTTAAAGTTGTTTTTTAGAAATTCTTATTGCAGCCAGCAGAGAAGGAAAATGGGGATGAGAGGGAAATTTTTGAAGAAAAACAGTCTGTCAGGTCTTTCTCATTAGTGCCTGTAAGTGGGAGCATTTACTATTAGTGTGAGAGTTTAACAACCTTATGCCTAATCTGCTTTAGTTTTTTCAATTTTTATTTTTATTTTTTGTCTTGCATTGATAAAGACATAATAGTAGCAGAGTCCTGCTGCTTGCTCTTTTAAGTGGGAATTATAAATTGATCTAGGTGCCTGT